AGTTTAAAAATTCTTGTTGATTGCATTTTTACAGCTTGTCAAGCACAAAACTGGTGGCTGTGTCCCTTATTTTGTGTATGTGGGGGTCTATACGAATGCGCTTGCTCCAGCTTGTGGTACAATATTCGGAGGCGGTATCGCCTCTCTGATCCTCTAGTATTTCTCCTGTTTTCACTCTTTCACCTACTTCAAAGGACCAACACTTGTACGATTAACTACCATTGGTGTATCATATAGAAGCACACTGTCAAGAGTTTAATTCTTGTTTCTTAAGGCTGTATCAAATGCAGGTGCTTCCTGACATACCACTGAGCTCCTCACCTGTTTGTTAAAGGCATCTCCCTCCATCCTGACGACATTCTCCAGTGCCTGGAGAGCAGCTTTCCTCACGTTGACCTTCTCGTCACAGGCGCGCCTTCGCAGCATGGAAACTACACCTTTACCATCAGCCAGCGCTGGTAGGGAAAAATAACCTTCAGTGTCACTTGTCTTACTTTGAAATAATTTTTTTTCATGGCAAACTGATTATCTAAAATTGCTCCAAGTTTTAGCATAGACTTACTTAAAAAATATTCACATGATGACTAGGAAAAAAAACTTCTATAGAGAAAGTAATCATTCAAAATTTGGGCATATTTCACTATAACCTGCACATTTTGAAACAAAACTAGCATAAAATACAGATCTTATAGGTCTTGCAGTGAAATTGCTCATTTGCAAAAAAAAGTCAGAAGAAGTAGGAGATTAAACATATAATATATGGACGTACTTGGTAGTACTTCAGGTAAAAACAAGGCGTTAACTTACAGAACTCTGCTCCTGGTGTGAGCTGTACAGCCAGTGCTGCCACAGGCAGGGGAGTACTCTCCTTGGGGTCCACAGTAGCAGCAGCAGGGGGGCCTTCCAAAGCTTGTCCTTCTGTCGCGACTGTCTTGTCTGACGTCTCGTCAATAGTTTTATCTGAACTGGTTTCTGTTTCTTGAGGGGTGTGGCCTTCAGAGCCTTGACCCTCTGAATAAATACAAACAACTGCCAGACTTTCGATTGGCTAAAATTTTTGCAAGATTTCAAGATTTGGTAGCTCAGGACCTGGGTTGGTCTGAGCCAGAAAATCATGTCCATTAAGATTAAAGAGAAAAAGAAAACTGTTGAACATTGAGAAATGTTGAAAAACAATGATGAAATTCATATCACCATCCATCAACTATTCCGAAAAAAGACAATCTCTAACTAATGCTATCTCTGACTTCAAATACCACAACAGCAATGGGTGGTTTTATAAAAGTTATGATAAAGTCTGTGTGTGTGTGCATGCATGTGTATGTACTCGCACATAAAAAAAGAAACGTGTCCAAACCTGAGGCCGGTGCTGTCCGCTGTGTCTCGGGGGTTGGCACCACTCTTGATATTGGTACTCTCCCCAGGGGACCATTCCTAGGGGTAAACATCTCCTTAATGGTTAGACCTATGGCCGAGTCTTTAGATGCCACACACTGGGAAAACCCTGCTATGGCACGGGAACGCACACTAAGTACAGGAAATACAATATACATTTATATCGTATTTAAAATATAAGGCAGCAAAGCTGTCAAATGGACAAACACATTGATGGACAGACACACTGATATAACCGATAGAAGCAGTAACATCAAAATCACCTAAAAATGATGAACAACAATTTAACAAACATTTAACAGTGAAAGTGCACAAAATTAACAAAATACACATTTATATGTTATTTTGAAATTTAATTTCTGACTGAGAAATGACCGAGCTGTATTGAAATAAGTGAGTTATTTGACGTAATTGAATACCTGGAGTTGACATCAGAGCACCTGGCTAACACCATCTGTATCAGGAAAGACTGGCTCATATATAATTATATTGAAATAAATGAATTATTTGACATTATAGAATACCTGGAGTTGACATCAGAGCACCTGGCTAACACCATCTGTATTAGGAAAGACTGGCTCATATATAATTATATTGAAATAAATGAATTATTTAACATTATAGAATACCTGGAGTTGACATCAGAGCACCTGGCTAACACCATCTGTATTAGGAAAGACTGGCTCAGGTAAACTGCATGGTCTGCATGGACTGAGTCTGGAATAAAAATAACAAGAGTTGGGGTTCCAAATTCTTCATAATTATTCCCCTTTAAAATGCTTGAGTAGGTACCATATTCCACTCCCACTACTCATTTAGTTCTATTATAATTACCATTCTGAAACAAAATCTGAGTTGGAGTTCCAAATAATTCTTCTTCTTCCACTATCTGAAAAATTCTCTCTTTTTATTATTATTATTTCATTCTTAAACAAAATCGGAGTTGGAGTTCTAAATACTACTTGATAAATTCAATTACTATAACCTGCACACTTCTCTTTTTCCCATTTATAGCAAAATCGGTTGAAAATCTATAACTTTATTCTACACATCTTGCCACAATGAAAATTATTTTTTGCCCTTTAAATTCATCTTTACTGATCATTTTTCTTTGTGTGAGAAGTCCATGCTACTCACCATCCTGCTTTCTCTCTGGTTCACTGAGGAGCAGTGTGACTATCTCCAGGGCAAATACTCTGTAACTGATCTGTGAAAGGGAAAATATCTTAGTATTCATTTCAAATCAATATTGGATATTTAAAAACCTCTTGTTATTAATGACCTTGAAAAAGCTACTAAAACTGTACAAAATCCGACTAGGTTACATCTTACATAAGCAGGGACTTAGAAGTGAGAGAAGAGGGAGGAGGGAGGGAGAGAAGAGAGAAGAATGAGGAAAGAGTTGTGAGGACAAGTGAGAAAGGGGGGAGGAAGGAGAAGTGAGGAATGGACGAGTGAGGAATGAGGGGAGGTGTTTGAAGGAGAGGAGTGAGAAAAGGCGGAGGAAGGAGAAGAGAAGTGAGGGAGGAGGGAGAAAAGTAGGAGTGAGGGGGAGTGAGGAGTGAGGGAAGAGTTGGGAGGAGAGGAGTGAGAGAGGGGGGAGGGAGGAGATATGAGGGATTTAGTGAGGGAAGAAGGAGTGAGGGGAACAGAGAGAAGATGGCAGTGGTAGGGAGGGATAAGAGGAGTAGGAGGGAGAAATGGAGAGAAGATTAGAGAAGTAGGGGTAAGGAGGGTGGAGTGGATAGTGAGTATTAAAGAGTGTAATGTCAGACAACCTCACCTTGGCATGTCTGGAGTATCTATAGATCCACTCCATCATCCTGGCATAGGCAGAGTTTGGAAGCTCTTGGAGTAGTGTCACCACAGCCTGGAAGGTAAACAGATACTTTAAGTCCAAAAGAAGGGGTCAACAAATGAATAACTAGAAAAAGAATTGCTCAGCAAAAGTAAATTACCTTTTGTAATTGGGACATTTGGACTACTCTAAAATATGATGAAATGGATTTTTCTTCGTCTCTTATGTAATGATGATAAAACAGCAAATTGTTTCTAAAGAGATTAAAAGTTCTTTCTATGAGGCATGACATTTTGCAATGCTCTAAAATAATTAAAAATAATTTTATTGGTGTTTCTTTTTCTCTAAAATAGATTTCTATCCATCATCAGTTGTATTGGAATTGCTAGCAAGTATCCCAATAAGGAATAATCTGGCCTAATATTAGTTTTATATTATCAAAAGGCAGTCACCTGTGCCACTTTGGCTCTGTACTCAGCTCTGTCTGGGACCTTGGTACACATGTGCTGTAGCAGAATTCTGGCACTGGCTGCAGCAGCTTCTGGCTTGGTACGCAACAGGTGACTGAAAATATGGTACAGGATTGTACAGGTGAATTTCTCAATTTTTCCTCAAAAACAAATAAAAAGAATGATAAAAAATAAAAGAAAAAAGAAAAAGTTGAAAGACATGGTCACATTAATGTAATAACAATAAATTAATAAAATAAACAAATAATTTAAAAAATTAATAAATAAGTAGAAATTCAAATAAAAAAAAAGGGAAAAAACCTCAGGCAAAATGTCATCTAGCCAAAAAGAAGTCATCATGGTGCATTTCTGAAAACATGCCAATCTCACTCACTATGTTTAAATTTCTATCATTTTTAACAAGTAAGTACACATATAATATAAATTCAATAAAAGAAATTCTATCTCATGCAAATGAGAAATTGTCACAGCAAAAAGTGTTAAATACATTTGCGTATATTCCATTCCTTTTGTCGTTTCTTACCAAACAAATGCCAGAGCATTATCCTTGATGGTCTGTATATCCCTGGGGATGGCCTGTGCTGCCACGCCCTTCCCATCCCCTATCAACATCAAGATACTGGGAAGAAGATACTTGAAGGCCTGAAATAATGGAAGACAGCCTTTAAATTAAACTTTTTCCTAACAAATATCTTTGGATCTTAATGTACTTCCTTCTAGATTATCACAGTCCTTATTTTAATAAATTTATGACAGATTTTATGAAAAAGTTAAAAATTAAATCTAAAAATCTTAAAATGTGTAAAAGTATTCTTAAAGATATGGAAATAGATTTACAAATAGAAGAAAATTCAAGTCAACTTACAGTGGTGATCATAACATTGATGTCACCATGAGAAGCTGAACACAGACAGTCCATACCCTAGAAAACATTTTATAGAAAATACAGCAAAACCAATAAGGTAAAAAAAAATTATATCAAATAAAATTCTACATTTCTATCCTTTTTTTGCTACCAAAAAATATCACATTCAAAACAATGAAACAGGGTAAACAAAAAAAAAAAAAAAAGAAAATGAAATACAAAATCACCCTTACAGTTTATAATAAAGCTGAGTGCAAAAGAACTCTGCCTTTAAGTACCAATATAAGCATTTGAAGAAAAAAGTCCTTAAAATTATATTTTAGATTAAACTGAGAGGGAAAAGTTAAAGTTAGCAACTCCTTTTGCATTTTACACCCCAGATCCAAAATCAAAACAACCGTTGGCACATTGTAAAGGTGAATAAAAGTATTATGAATGAAGGTCAACATTATGTATTCCTCATTCCATTCTTTTCTCCAAACTCTTTTGTAAGAAACCCCATTTCTGAGGCATGAATAGGACGATACAGAGGATACAAAGGTGTATTGAATAAAAGCGCTAAGGGAAACCTCTCAGTTTTGAATGCCAACTGAGGGGTGTAAATTACACGTCCGTTTCCCTTAGCACAAGTGTAAACCATATTTGGCATACATTTGAAATTTAGGTAGAAAACAGTATATATACAGCTACTGTACCTTGGCCTTTTTATCTTTGATATCTCTTATATCTTTAACATCTTGGAGATTACCTGGATCACAAGGTGAGGGACTTTTAATTTAAACAACATTAAAAACTACTTAATTTCCTGTAATTACATAAACAGCCAAAATTACTGAGAAGAAGATATAATACTAGTCAACCATTTGTAGGTAAGGTCCTGTTACAGTTCTCTGTTCTCTAACAGGAAATATAGTCCTTCAAAAGGTAAATGTCTCATTCTGGACAGAAGAAACAAGTGCAAATACTGACTTTCTGAAGAACTATAGGCAGTTGACCAAAATAAATATGGAAGCGTGGCGAATAAAAGGGAGCCCATTACTATACCCCCACAGGGTATAAGTTGTTTCCCTTCAAATAGTAAAACAGGGGCAGATTGAGGCCGTCTTCTGGGTCTTCCGGAAGACAGATTTTAAAGTTTAAATTGATTGGTATCTAATTATTTCTGTAGATCAAGAAAGATAGTTTGGAAGACTGTCAGAAAATATCCCTGGATCCCCTCTGTAAAATGACTGACAATGCAAATAATTTTTACAGATCGTTAATTCTCTAACTTTCATGTTATCAGCAGTAACTTTAATGCCTTTTTTATTTCAGTTGCTGCCCAAAATACAATCTTATGCATGAACAAAATAGAGGAAGACCACACAATTCTCTTTGATGAAAAATTCTTGAAGAGCATCGCCTCTAAGATAGCAAACGAGTGGGACACCTTGGCACCTCAATTTGGTTTCAGCAAAAAGAAAGTGAAAGAAATCAGAAGAGACAATCCAGCAGACAACATCCGGCAGTGCCAGGTGATGCTGGTCAACTGGGCAAGACACAACTTCTCAAGTGACGCCAATAAATCTGAGAAACTGACGGAGATTCTATTATCTCTTGACAGGAGTGATCTGGTGTCAGAGTTACATGAGAAAGAAAGAATATGGCTGAGCTTTATCTGAAAAATTCTTCAAAAGTTGCAGAGACATGTAGATCAAGGAGATATCTGACAGGCCTAGCTGTCTGGCTAAACCTTTGTGTTGAGGTGACGTAAATATTATCCTGTTACAAAAAGATACAATCCCAGCAGCAAAAGAAATGGTAACCGAATCCTGTGTCCAACTTTAGGGGATATTTATATATACTTCATTTGCATTGATCTGTATAATGACTGTATCATAATGCTAAGTATGTGATCAGTGAACAGAAGCAATCTTCAGTGTACTACAATGGTTCAGGACATTATGAGGTGCAATATTCAGGGACAAATGTATTCTGCAGTATATCAGACAACCAGAAATGGAGATCAGTATTACGCCATATTTTGCCAAAATGTATTTCTAAGACAACTTGGATTTATTGATGCAATAAATTTAATTACAAGAGTAAAAACAACCAACTTAGGACCATTTATTCACAATCACATGCATAAATTATAAGGGAGTATTTGCCATAGCTAAAATATTTCATCTTAATAATATGGAAAAAATTGTGGAAAACATCTTCAGGACTTCTGCATTCATTTTGTCTACTGAATGACGAACGCTAAATAAACATCCTTTCATTAAAATCTTTTTTTTCTTTTTTTTTTTTTTTTTTTTTTGTTTTGAAAGACACACATACAAGAATAACAGATGTCATTGTACAACTCACCATAAAAGCCAGCTTGGATATGGAGTGGACTCTGTTGACATCACTGAAATAAAAAATACATTTTTTATTATTTAAGACCAACAGCCTCAGTGACCATGAGACATTTAATGACTCTTGGTCCAACTGTGACAGCAGTCCCCAAATTCTAGCCTTTTATATAATACTGCTTCACAGTGAGTCAAAAGACAGTGTATATAAGGAATTAATTGAGGATTTAGTTTTTTAAAGGAAAAGTTATGATAATGTTGTTTTACCTGGTAAGATCAAAATCTTCTCCCACAGTCTCAGCTTCCTGTTTGGACAGTTCCACCAATATTTGTAATGCATGCTGTGCAGATGATTCTGATTCTTTCAGTGAGTAATTCTTAAGGAGTGTGGTGAAGTTCTAGAAAGAAGAAAAGTTATTCTAATTAAGAGTTTACCATTATGCCATGGGGGGGGTGGGGGGGGTGGGGGGGCAGATTGTCTGGGTCATAATATTGAAAGTACAGAAATAGAGGCCAGAATATTTGTGTGCATGGGAATCAATAATCTACATAAATCAGAGATTCCCTGCTTACCCTAAGTAAAGACAGCAGGCAGCTTCTCAGCTTAGATATCTCCTGGGGAGTGAGAATGTCCTCATCTTCATCCTCATCCTCATCTTCTCTTTCACCAAAATCCTACAAGGAAATAATTCAAGGTAGATGATGCCGATTGATTCAATAACAAGATCTATACCAGAGTTCATTACAATCTGATTGAAACAGATTCTGATACGTGTTTCTAACTGACACACTCTATAACAAAGCCATAACAAAGCTATAACAAGGTGTCTTGGATCAATCTATGGAGAAATAGAATTTCAATGTGTAATTTTCAGATCCTTCACCACCAACTGAAATCTAATAATTGTATGCATTTTTTCAGAATTCTAAAATAGAGAATTACAGCAAAATCAATATAACTAATACTTTTACGAGTCATATCTTTATGTACTGTAACAATGACAACTAATATTCCTAAATATCCTTGATCTTACAATGAATGACTCCTCTTTCCTCTTCTTGTGAATGACATTAGTAGCAGTCAAATGTGAAATAACATAACATCAAGACAACTTCTAAATATGCTTTTCAGTGCCTGCCACTTACTAGGTAAAAAGTACTATGGTACAACCAAAGGACATGATCATGATAACTACTGTACTTACATCCCCAGCTACGTCCTGTTCTGGTTCTTTGGTTGTCTTTCTTGCTTTACCTCTCCTGCCTGCCTGACTGCTACGGACTGGAGACGGCTTCCTCTTCCTTTTGGGGGAACCTTCAACGACAGGGAGCAATTTTATCTCAAGTTTAACTTTCTCCAGGGACATAAGATGCATAAGCGTTAATTCCCATTTTGTGCTTTTTTGTTAATGTCTAATTTTCCTTTACTTTGTAACTCTAAAAATTAACACTACTTACTGACTTAATGATTATGAAATGATTACCACTTGACAAAATTAATTCTACTGTCTCCATTCTACAACATATACCTAGTTGAGTCCAAGACTTAAAGACATCCACTGATTTTTGGAACAACATTGGGTGAAAGATTTTGAATGCTCCACTCCCTGGAAAGAAAATGTTATTAAAAATAAATAAGTAGAATTACGCCTTCAATGAGATTAACCATATATGAAACAGTAGAACCATTTAAAGAAACTTTCAAGTGTTTTAAAAAATTCAAAATTATTCCCCTAACATCGTAGGTAAAATATATGGAATAGTACAATTCAAGGTATTGTGTTACCTGGTATACATATTAAAGTGAAGTAGACATCAGCTGCTGAGATTGCAGCCTCTCTTAGTTGGGCATTTGCCACTCTCTGAAAAATTAATATCAATAGAGAACATATTACTGAATATAGACCTGTGCACACAAAGAGTGCCAAAATGCAGAAATGAAAAAACTATTATTTTTCATTAGAATATTTATAAAAAAGCTAATTGTAAAATTGTTGTGTTGATGAAAGTGGACCTTTTTTTAATAAGAAATATCTTGAAAATGCAAGCACTGAAATAATGCAACTCTCTATAACCGGGTTGAGACTGCCACTTAGTGAAAATGTCAGAAAATATTTCCTGGGGTCCATGGGGCCACTTAGGCAAATGCTATTTTTGGCTCCCAAAAAGTCAGAAATCTGCTGAATAGTCAGAAAGATTTTTATCTCTTCTATAAGGGAACTGGGGGGGGGGGGGGGTATTATACACCCAATACCCAGATTTTCACATAAAGACAGGACTTACATCGTCATGTGTATGCTGTATCATCACATACCTTTGACCCTGCTTCTATGATGTAATAAAGAAAAGATACAAAGTTTCTGTGTGGGAGGTCATTTTCTACCAGTACTGTCCAGAAACCTGCCAAAAAAACAAAGAGCTTATTTATAAATGCTTTCCTGTGTTTAGGGATTTCCCCAGGATTTGGGGTAAAGGGGGTCCAAAATGTTGATCTGTAATTTGGTCAGTTTTACAAGGAGTCCAAAATCAAACAGACTGACATTCGCCAAATATTTCATAAGCTTCCCAGCTTTGAAAATATAGGATGTCTTTTGAGGCCAGTGGCTGTCGAAATGAAGGCTGGGTAACTCTCTGGAGAGCAGTGCCTATGATACACAAGTGTCGACATTGCTGTGATTACTTATACTAAATATGACAGAAAAAATTATTCATTATTGATAATCATATAATTTACTCAATATCTCAGGTCACACTATGATAATCTACTAGTGACTTAAAAGTACTGACTATTCTCTAGCTGTGGTTTATAACATACTTGATCATGATTTTGCATATTACATGTAACAATGAATTCATATTAACACAAACAGAAGTGCTAGAGTAGAGAATGATGATTAACTAACCCTCCCCAGACTTCCCCTCCTCTCCCAGTGCCCAGGGCTGGAGGATCTTCCTGGTTAACTTCAGGGTCTCCACATGGTACCCACTGCCCTCAAGGCCTTCCTCTGTACTGATAGGCAGTGGGTCGTAGTCTGTGAAGTCTCTCTCCCATACTTCCTTTACCCAATCTGAAAGTCAAGTCAATATTAAGTTATTCAGATTTAAAACCAATGAATAAGGTTAAGATCAACTGTGAAATGGAGACCGGTGGTGTGAATCTACATGTGTTTGTTAGTGTTTGAGGGAGTTGCCTCAGTTTGCGGCCTTACACGCTTACAGTTCTCTTGCGGTGCCATAGGAATGCATTAGGCCGCACACTGAAGCTAGGATGGGGGGTTGACCACTGGCTATACCACTAATTACTGGACATATCTAGCCCCTAGAGCTTCGAGTCAGTAATTGATTATAAAATATATGTGGCCATCTTTTAAATATCGCTTTGATACGAGGGCATTCGGCCTGTATCATTTTAGATTTTTAATCGCACTACCGATATCTAGTCTGTCAACAATGTTCTGTCCTCTCAGACCTGCTGATTGAAATGAAACAGTGTTTTTCCTATCGATACTATACGAATGAGTTAATGCTTTATTTTTTACCTGTATCCAAGCCAGTAAAATCGAGTGTGGAGAGGCACTCGACTGTTTTCCCTACGTCCGCCATATCGAAAACAACCGCCAAATCAGTAAGAGCTCTTTTCAAAAGGAGAACCAAAATGCATCATTTAGCCTCAACTCCTTTCAATAATTTTTCCATTTTTTGTACAAAAACAAAATTCAACAGACTCAGTTTTTGAATTTATGATAAAGAATTCATCATAAGCTTTCTGAAACGTTTTACTTTGTTCGCTAAGTGCTAATTTTTCTAGTGAAATTATTCTTTGATAGGATTCGAGATTAAAATATCTCCCCAACAGGACACAGACAGTCAACATGGCACTTTCTCAAGCAAGTAAGAAATCAGTCATTTTCTTAACGTAGAGACACACTAATATCATGTTTTATTTGTTAATGCTAACTTGTGAACAAGGGCAGTTGATGACATAAGTGAAAAATGAAGACGTAACGTAGGGTCATCTGTTTATTTTCATTTGGAGGTGTGTCTGCTTGATCATTCTCTGATTGGTCAGTTCACATAATTTTTAGGTCGAGTTCAAATCCACGTGTATACACACAGCTTGTCTAAGAGTTAGTGTGCCATCTGTCCATTTGGTGAACTAGAGTGATCCAAATGATATTAATCGGTTGAAAACAAAAACAAGTAAATCAGTTATCAGTTTTTGACAGGCACAATATTGTTGACAAGCCAGTGTACCAGTAAAAGATAATGTTCCAGTATTTCCAATATGGTTATTTATTTTTTATTAATCAGCCTCAGTCACTTTTAGTCTTTAGAACAATTTAGTGTGATTATAATTGAATTCCCGAAGGCATGAAGTTTAAACTAGGGTTTTTTGTATTTTTTTGTGCTAAAGTAAGCCGTGAAAGTGAGAGAGAAACTTATTTAATTTAGTTCATATTCTTGTGCAATTACAGATAAATATCTGGGAAAAAAATAGACATCGATGGCAAAACTAGAACTGTTTCTGAAATGGTGTGGCATATATAACTACTTAAAGAAGCATATTGTTGAAAGTTTATAGCTTATCCTATAACTCGTGATGTTTTCTTCAGAGAATCTCAGACACTTTCTTAAGACATTCCAAGTCCAACGAGTCCTGAGTGCCAACACCGTTGCCGTGGCAGCAATTAAAGAAGACTTGGGTAATGTTCTCAGTGAAATCAAGGAGGCGGGTCTCTGGAAACCTGAGAGGATTATTACATCAAAACAGGATTCTGCTATTGAAGTGAAAGGGTCCAAGGGAAAAATTCTGAACTTTTGTGCCAATAATTATTTAGGCCTATCAGTAAGTGAATTCATTACAGCCCAATGATGTTATTTGTTTTTATACACTCTCATATGTGATGGGCTGATATCACATCAGTTTTGATATTTTTGTTCTTCAGGAAATAAATGCCAGGAGCATTCATGAACTTAACGATACTGAAACATCTTTTGTAAATAAAGATTGAAGGAGATATTTGGTTTTAAAGAACATTGATAATTTATTTGAGGTGCTAACAAATAAGATATGATAAAGCGATTCCTCATATAATAAATGAATGTAACTTACAGAGTCACCCAGATGTTATAGAAGCAGGCAAGAGAGCCCTTGACAGTCATGGTGCTGGACTTAGCTCCGTCAGATTCATATGTGGAACACAAGTAAGTGCTTTCACCATGGGTTGCTTTCATAAAAGGACTGTTGACTGAAGGTTTATTGCTCCTCCTATAGTTAACTTGCCATACCCAATGATATCTTTAGGATATGGTGTACATTGGCAAACTGCATGAATTTTTTACTTTAAAACCCTTTTTTTCTCTGTCATGACTCCAGGTGGTTTAAGTAAATGAAATGAGACCCTGTTTTAAAAAAAGGAAAAAAATCTTATGTTTTAGACAAGCAGTTTTTTTAATTTCATTAGACTGCCAGAATTGATCAAAGTAGTCTTTTATTTTATTTTCTGTAGGATCTACACAAGGAGCTTGAAGCAAAAATTGCAAAGTTTCATGGCATGGAAGATGCTATTGTGTATGCCAGCTGCTTTGATGCTAATGCAGGTAATTGAGTCACAGATCAATTGATTTGTGTTTTTTTATGGATGTATGTATCATGTGTTTTTTTATATGTTGATGTTCAGGTTACCTCTGACCTTTGTGAATTTTGCCAGTACAAATTAATACAGGCTATCTGTAGGCAAAGTATATGTCTAAGTTTGCTGAAGACCCACATCTTTTTCAACATACTGGTAGAAGTAGGATGACATGCACCATTTTATGTTCTACAATTTACAGGTTTGTTTGAACAAATTCTGAGTTCTGAGGATGCAGTTCTGTCCGATGCCCTGAATCATGCGTCTATCATTGATGGGATAAGACTTTGCAAAGCTCAGAAGTATCGGTACAATCACATGGACATGGAAGGTTGGTCATGTGACAGCTAGTGTAGTTTGTTACAGTGTATCACTGGATTAGGAGGAGTTGCTAAGGAGATTATTATTTAACTGTTATAATATCTTGAAACAAAAACTGTAGTGATTATATGTAAAATGATACCAGCGTGTCAGATTTACACATACATGACTGTGTATGCTACAGTTAAATACAGTATTATCCACAATTTGTAGTTGATTTATACTACTTTCTTTATGTTTTCTGTAGATCTTGAATCCAAACTAAAGGATGCTCAGAAGTGCAGACTAAGGTTGATAGCCAGTGATGGGGTCTTCAGTATGGACGGGAATGTTACTCCATTAAAGTAGGCTAAGTTATTTTAGTCACACAGTGCATTTTAACTTTGCTGCTTTGATAAAAAAAGTAGTTTTTATGATCGAAATTGGGTTATAGAATTATTTTGCTAACTTTGATTTATCTTAATATATTTAAGCCATTCCTTTGTTGCGTGTTTATTGTTTTTTAATCATGACAAGTTTGTGAAATGTTTTTGGTTATCTTACAGGGAAATCTGTGATCTTGCAGACAAATATAATGCCTTGGTATTCATTGATGAGTGTCATGCTACAGGCTTCTTTGGCAAAACTGGAAGGTGTGTCTGGAGCTGAATGGTTGTCAGCATTATTACATACTAATTACTAAATACTGTTTTTTTTTTTTTTTTTTTTTTTTGTTTTTTTTTTTTTTTTTTTTTTTTTTTTTTTTGTAAATGATAAATAATAGGATTTTACCTGAAACAGGAATTCAGTAATCAGTTTGTAGATATTTGTAGATGTTCTGAGTAGGACTCTTATATTTTCTATACTTATGACATAAATAATATTTGTTGGTATTATATTGTGTAATTTTCAGTATTTTGGCAAACATAAGTGCCCATCCAATGCTGTCAATTTTTGTGAAATTTTCTGGACCTGCTATATAATTAGTGGTCATTGATTTCCATGAGGTTTATACAACATATGATAGAAAATAATATCTGTACTCCTCTTAACAGAGAAATATTCCTTTACAAGGTTTATTTTAACTTACCCCTTTGGATATGTCATTTATAAATTTGTCCCAGGTCTGGAAAAATCTATGTATCAGATTATAAAATACATTATTTTAACATACTCTGAAATTTCCACTTAAACAGATTTTTAAAAATTAATTTATATATTTATTTATATAGAGGAACTGATGAGTACACGGGCACACAGGGCAGGGTGGATATCATCAACTCCACGCTGGGGAAAGCACTGGGAGGGGCCTCAGGTACAACAGTTTCTCACTCTTTGTAATGAAAACAATTTTTTGACTTAATTTCCTTTTGTCCATTATTAAACTGCTTGAAATTTGAAGATGGGGTACATGCCATTTTGTAATTTATAATCCTTTTATTTATACTGAAAAATAATTGATGCTGTCAAATTAGCAAAACCAGGTTGTCCATGTCTCTGTTCTGTATACTTAAGGTGGGTACACGGCTGGACCCAGGGAGTTAACAGAGCTGCTGCGTCAAAGATCACGTCCGTATCTGTTTTCTAATGCATTACCCCCAGCAGTAGTGGCCTGTGCCATCAAGGTAAGCAGTGCTCTGCCTGTAGTTAATTATTTGTATAACTGTGTGATACAGTATATACCCTATGATTCATGTTTATACTATTAGTTACTGCAATAACAGTGTAATATTTAGAAGTTTGAGTGTCCTTCAATTGGCATGATACGCCTGGCGTTCAGTAAGATTTAATCTTGGCCCCTCACTCCCATTCAGCATTTTAAGACATTGAGACATTGTTTCTAATTTGTTCAAGTTATCAGACTTACCCTGCAACTCAATTTCCATATACATTGCACGTCTCTGGTTGTAGTTGATAAGAGGAATTTTGCTTATATATATTATACATATTGGTTACTTTCATGATGTGAAATGTGCTGATTATTTTTTATTACTGTGACTCTTGACAGGTACTTGACATGCTCCTTGAAGGAACTAACCTCACTGCCAAGGTGCTGTCTAACACAAAACGTTTTCGCTCCAAGATGACAGCTGCAGGGTTCAACTTGGGAGTATGTATCTCATTTTAATTGAATGAAATTCTGAATTAGGGAAAAGTTGGCATTGATTTTTTTGAAAATGTTATTGTGTTGTTGAATTAATAATTACATAAGTGATTCAGAATAAAGTTTTTAAAATCTATTACTGGACTTCAGCCAATCTACGTGTCTACTGAAATAACGTGCTCAGGTGGAATTGCTTTTGTCTTGCTTTATGATCAACATGGAAGAAATTTGATCACATTTTCCCATGTTCTGGATAGTCCGAATAATGCTTGTTAAGTGACAGGTATTAAAAACTTCAATACAATATGTGAAAATAATTCTGGATGACTTAATTATCTGCACAGTCTTAATTTCTTATTATGTTTAAAAGCTATTAAAGAGCAAATATTATTAATAATGAATTAAGTTTAAGACAAAACAATGTCACCTTTTTTGTGTAAAGACTGTAAATTAAAGTGAATAGCTAAATTATTAAATTATCTAAATATTTAACCTATTTAATATGGAGAACTGTGTATTTCCCCCAGGGTGACCCAGACCACCCCATCTGCCCAGTGATGTTGGGGGATGCTAAATTAGCAAATCAGTATGCTGAAGAAATGCTGTGTGAGTAGAAATGTGTGCAGTATATGTTTGAAGTTTCCCATACATTTCCCTTTTTAGGGTACTTTCCATATGTAATAGTCAGTAGTATTCTTTGACAGAAATGATGAATCATGATGTAAACAATTTTTGTTGATTTGTTTTAATTTACTTGTTCTGATTTAAAGCAACCTTTGGCTAATGGGACATTTCTTTTGATTGAAGAAACTAAAATACTGAAGCTGTGTAAAATAATTATTTTGTAAACAATTTGATCATGTTTTCAGCAAGAGACATCTATGTTATTGGGTTCAGTTACCCAGTGGTTCCCAAGGATACGGCCAGAATTAGGGTTCAGATTTCTGCTGCTCACAGTGAGGAGGACATTGATAAGGCTGTGGATGCCTTTGTGGACATTGGACGTAAACTGAAGGTCATTCCATGAGATGGAGGATGAAAATCAGGTCTACCCAACTACCAGACTCCGCATTGGATGATCGGATCACACTACCCGTTTTCAAGGTGTGTGTCAGTACGCACTTCAACGTATCGGATGCAACACTGCTCTTGCCTAGTACGCGATGTGATAGCAATGATTCTGAGCTGGGTTGGAAAGTAGTGCATTTCATCTCAAAATTTGTTCGGGGTATGATACTGTGAAATGCGCACACCTTGAAAACGGGTAGTGTGGTCCTATCTACCAGTGAATTTAGGATCATTCTGTGTCGAGTCTGATTGGGTAGGCCTGTAACTCTTAGATGATATATGTAATGTTTTAAGATACCTTATACCTTAAAAAGTAAAGACTAATTGGATCAACTAGTATTTTCATTAAAAATGAATTGTCAAAAGGAAAAAGAATCTCTAAAAAGTGCCATTTGGTATTTGTAGATAATTTGTTAAACCCATTCCAAGTGTTTACTTCCAATTTGATACATGACCATTCCCTGTATTGTATAGTCAATTAAAATATTTAAAAGATGTCACTTCAAAAAGATCTTTTGGATCAGATTATATCTTGAAAGATTGTCAGATGGATAAAGGCATTTTGGCATTAACTTAATCATGTCTTTAAAAATCTAAAATTACCTTTAGGCTTTTAGTAATCATGTATTTAAAACTCATTCCAGATAGTTTACTTCTTGTTGAAAATTATGAAACATTCCATGTTTGGTTGGATTGCCCAAGCATTGATCCTTTAGCTCATTCTTTTGAGTTTGTTAATTATGCTTATTTAATTATGTTGAGTTTGTTAAATATGATGTAATGACGATCTCTCTTTCACAAATGAAACTATGGCAGCTATGTTTTAAACGCAGTAGCATAATAAGAAACTATTTTATGCTTGAATCTCGTATTCTTGAAAAATTTATTTTTACTGGCAGTAGGTGTATTTAAGTGTATTTCATATTAAAAAGAGGTTTTACTGCCAATTTATTATAATACATTGAAGCACTGACCGTTGATTTACACATATTTGCCTTTTCAAATGATCTGAATCTCATCTTACATGTACTAGTAAATCAGTTCCGTGTTTATCAGAGAATGAAGGACCATTTAGTTAGCTCTGGAAAAATATAAAGCATTCCTATAAAATCATCAGATTAATGATATAATATTGTTTTCACATTTTATGGAAAATTTGATATTTTCCACAATCTGAGCTAAGAACTTATTGACAGGCAGAGGATTTGGCCATAGAAACATGGACTGAATCTTGGTCTTTTTGTTCATGGAGTGTATTGATATTGTGAAATAAAAAATTATTCAGGTGCATTCAGTTTGTGTACAAGGCTTTATTCATGGGTATTATATGAATAGATGGTCAATGTTAGCTTCTAACCTGAGTCTATTTGTAATTTTGCATGTAAGTTTAAACATAATTCTGTGTCTTAGACAAGGCAGTAAGCTGCCAAATGTACAGACATATACAGCAGATGCACAAATGAGGTTCTTTTGTCAATTTTAAAGCAATATTACAAAATCCTTAACAACATTATCACCACCAATTTTCATTATGTACAACAGTTAACATGGACAATAAAAAAATGTTTATATCATATAGAACCTTAGGTTCATGGAATTTCAAAACCACAAATAAAAAATGAAGTGTGGGCAAAATGAGAAGTTAAATAAAAAATAACTGCATAATATCTTGAGAAAAACAATTTCATCAGGCTGCTTTTCCAACTTAAACTGCATTTTACTCGTAAGAATCATTCCTTTGAGGATAGTATCACAGTTTTTCTTTCATATATACTGTTTTACAGAGGCATTGCACGAGATAAGATTTTGGACAATTTTAATGCAACATATTAAAAAACAATGCCACCATTTTAAAATTTTGTGATGTTAGTAATGAACTTTACACACTGCGCGTGAGCATATATCACAAAAGTTTCACTGGTGAAGACCAAAAGTGCATAAATGCTGGCTGAGTACATGTCAGCACATTAATTCTTACATTAGACAACTTTTAATGTATAGGTACCCAGTATAGTGGACATTACAGTTCATAGTTCGGCCATTCTCAAAGCTGAGAGGCCAGTATTTTCAGAGTTACTTGCATTTCTCAACGGAAAACAATGGGACAGGCTGCCATCACTTATCGCGCCGAACATAACCATGACATTACCAAGGACAGAGTAAAACACAGAAATGTTCCAAACACACTTGGGTGTCGGGGGGCGGCTGTGCCTGGTATATTGGGTTCCTCACATGTAACATTGGCAGGTGCAGTGGGACACATGCTAATTAACGACTGCTCCCTCCCCGTGGGGAGCTGAACATTGGTCAATCCACACAAATCTACGATCTTCTGAAAATTTGAATCGCTTGCGTCGAAAGCTACAGAATTCATAACGCTTAATTCGTGAAATTTGTAAGACCCGTCCGCATTTTTCTTTAGCCCAATTATGTACTGTTTCCCCTCGGATATTTCAGTCCTGGAACACGTATGTCGTGGGCTGACCCTATCAATGGTAATATTTTCAGGAAAATCCCCTTGCTGCGAGTTTTTGTAGATACAGAAGACGCGAAATATTGCGTTGGTTTTCTGGGGCGTCTCGGGGTATTGCGACGTATCATTCAGTTCGTAATGTCGGACGTCTTCCCCATAGACAACGATGTCTGCCTTGGAAAGGACCTCCGTCATGTCCCAGGTTCGGGGAACGCCCACTACGGAACACGAGTCTGAGCACTGGAGAACAGCACACAACAAGACGACCAGGATATGTAACACTAATGACGCCATCTTAATTAATTTTTCTCGTTTACTTCTTCACGAGCCTCGGCGCTGCCTTGATGTCAGACCTTTACATGCTCAGGTGTAATATAATGTCTATTTATCGATCCTTACCCCATAGGTGAGAGTGTATGCGACTTGAAGCTTAAGGCATTTCTGTCAGTTGTGATCCAAGGGTCCTGTTGGTTGTCATAGACGCCCTTCGACCTTTTCACCTTACCTTACCTTACCTTGACAGCCTCGTTGTAGGTCGGTCGTGTACCTCTGGTAAATTTAATTTTAAATTGCCTTTTTTTTTAGAATCAGGGATAAGCCGGCCGTGTGTCTCCAGAAACTTTATGCTAATTACCTTTGATCAGCCGAGGACCGGCTTGGAGGACAGTTAAGGTGATAACGATCAGGGGTACGCCGGGCGCGTGCCTCCGGCAAACTGATCGTTCTTACCTTTGATCATCTAAGGTGATTACAGTCAGGGGTACCCCGGTCGCGAGCCAATGTTTGGAGTCAAGTATGCTGAATATAAAAAAGCAAGTATTCTCTAAGGTTATCCATCACTCTAACCATGCCTGGAAAGCAAGATGGATCGAGTATTCTCATCTTAGGAGACACATCAGGCGGTTGCAGGACGACCATTTGCGAACCCCAGGTGAACATACGTTACTGTCACAAACGCAAAACGTTCAACTGTGAAACGTTTTACTCATTTTGAAAATTCAATCATCGCTAGTTTTGGTCTTTGATTTATCTCCTACATGTATAACATATAAAATTATGATAATCTTCTGTATAGAATCATAAGCCGTACCAAATCCCAAATGGCACCGTTCGCCCTCTAAAAATATACCAAAAATGTTTGGGCTCTCCAGCGGGCCCCGGACCCCACGCCAAGTGGGGAGGCGCGA